AGGGATCATGGAGCTGGCGTGGGATCGGGCAGTGTTTCATTCTGCTGTGCATGGGGTCACTATGAGTTGGAAATGACTTGACGGCACCTAACAACAGCATAACTACGGAAGTAGATTGCCCAAAATTCCTTCCGAGGAGTGCCTGGTGGGTTTGAACTGTCAGCCTTCTGGTTAGCAGTCAAGTGCATTAGGCGCTGTGCTACCAGAGCTCCTGGCATAACATAATACCCAAAAACATTGTTCTACATTCTACTTTTGTGAATAGTAACTGGGGTCTTAAAAGCTTGCAAGCAGCTATCTAAGATGCAACAATTGGTCTTTTCTCATCTGGAGCAAAGAAGAATGAAGAAAATCAAAGAGACATGGAAACAATTAGTCCAAGGGATGAGTGGACCATGCGAATCTCAGCCTATATGACTCTGAGACCAGAAGAACTAGATGGTGCCCAGCTACCACTGTCAACAACTTGGAAAGGGATCAGAATAGGAGATCCTGGATAGAGTGGGAGAAAAATGTGGAACAAAACTCAAAATCCTAAAAAGATCAGGCTTACTGGTCTGATAGAGACTGGTGAAACCCCTGAGACTATGGCCCCTAGTGACCCTTTGGGCCTGGAATTGAACTCACTCAGTGGCATAGTGCCTCAGGCATTTGACTGCTAACCAGAAGGCTAGCGGTTCAACCCCACCAGCCACTCCTCAGAAGGAAGGTTGGGCAATCTACTTCCGTAGTGATACCGCCTCAGAAACCCAAGGAGGGGTAGCTATGAGTTGGATCTGACTAGATGGCAGTGGGTTTGGTTTTGGTTTTGGTCCCGTGGCTTCCAGCCAAACAATAGACAGGCATATAAGGTGAACATTTACACCAGGTAGGTACACTCCTTAGAGCAATCAATCAGGAGATCAGAAGGGCAGTATTTGCACAGAGAGATACCTCAGAGAGTAGGAATGCATAGGAAAGAAGGATCCAGGGAAAGGGGAAGCAGAGGAAGGAAGTGGGAGGAGAGCTATTACATTATGGGGATTGCAATCAACGTCATGAAAAAAAAAATGTGTATGAACTGTTGTATAGAAAATAAATTTGCTCTGTAAACTTTCAACCAAATCACAATAAATAAAATAAATAAAGTGGCCTTAATCACAATGACCTTAATAAATCTTCCCTAGGTAGTGAGATTGACCCATGTGTCAACCTATTTTAATATTTGCTCTTAAAATAGTATATCATTGGTGTAGGCAGCGACTGGGAGGGCACCCAATAATCCTCCTGGTATTGGCTTACTTGTGGAATCCCCTCCCCTGGAGTGTAGACTGGACTGTTTGACTCACTTCTAACCAATAGAATATGGCAGAAGTTATGGAATTTTGCTTCAGAGATAAGGTTATAAAAAAACTGGCTTCCTTATTAGGCACCTGCTCACACTCTCGCTGGGGGAAGCCAGCTGTCATCTTATGAGACAGGTCTGTGGAGAGGCCTGCGTGGCAAGGAATTAAAGCTTGCTAACAAGTATGTTAGGAGCTCTGGTGGTGCAGTGGTTAAAGCACATGGGCTGCTAACCAAAAGGTTGGTGGTTCAAACCCACCAGCTGCTCTGCTAGAGAGCAATGAGGCAGTTTGCTTCCGTAAAGATTTACAGCCTCGGAAATCCTATGGGGCAGTTCTACTCTGTCCTGTAAGATCGCTGTAAGTCAGAATCGACTGGATGGCAATCGGTTTGCTTTTTTTATTTTAACCACTGCATAAGTGAGCTAGCAAGCAGATTTTTCCCAAGAGGAGCCACCAGATGACTCCAGCCCTGGTCAACAATTTGATTGCAGCCTAGGAGACAGCTCGAGTGAGAACCACCCAGCTAAGCTGCTCTCTGACCCATATAAATCTTAAGATAGTGAATGTTTATTGTTTTCAGCCATGGTTTTGAAATAATTTGTTACACAGCAGGTGACTGAAGTGACTTTGGAAATGTTGTCAATAATGCACACTGGCCAAGTATAAAATGAGGTAGTACAAGGTAGATTTAAGGGCATCTTCCATCATCCTTTACAGGGACACTGTAAGAAGGCCCAGGACGGGAGGGAGGGAACTAGGCGGAAAACAACCCAGTTCCCCATGAAAGGAGAGTCGTGAGGAACAGGTGGTGAGGGACTAGAAGGTGCGTACACCTCAGATGGCAGCGTTTTCACCCAGGTGGGGCAAGCAAGGCCTCACAATGGTGCTGTGGACTATAGCGTAAGCATGGTGGGTGGGTTCTTCTGTTTACTTACTTGTGCAATTAGAGTTTTGAGGGCCAGCAAACGACCCTGGGCTGCAGCTTCATGAAGTGGGGATCGGTCAGCCCAGCAGTCTGAAACACAAACAAAGCTCAGAGTCAATGTCTAGAATCTTCTCCTTGCCACTTGTCCACACTGACCACTGTGAGAAGAGACTTGGGGAAAAAGGATGGGACTATGTGCTATGCACTGGGGTCTCCCAGGTGACCAGCTACTGAATGCATACATAGTTCATGAGTTTGGAGGGATGTGGGGAGAGGAGGTGCAATCAAGCTGTCTTTTCAGGGGCGTTTTAACGAGCAAAAGATTTAGTTCAAATAAAGGCTGCCCAGTGCTTGACTCCGATAGGTCAGTGAAATGAAGGGCAAATCCAGTCAGTGAGCTTCCCCACTTTCATCATTCCACTGTCTCTGATCCACCCTCACCCCAAAGATACCACTAGCCTGTGCGCCAGGAAGGGGGCTCTATGAGGTCAGGTAAATGGCTTTGTTCCACATTTGCTAGGGAAGTGTCTCTGTTTCATTTGTAATGACATGTCTCTATTAGCATAAAGCATAGTGTTGTTTTTTCAGATGATGAAGTCCTTCTTCCCTAAACAGTTTGCTGTGGGCACTTTAGTATAATGACTAAGCAAGGGGACAGTAGAGCCCAACTGCCTGGGTTTGAGTCCTACCTTGACCACTTTCTCTGCCAAAATAGTATTACTAAAATGATTTGAACTTTAATTTTCTGATCTGTAAAACGGGGAGATAACCAGTTGCTGTTGAGTCAATTCCGACTAATTTGTAATTATTTTGCTAGTAAATAATCATTTGTGGGCCCAGTGGGCTATGGTGACCCCTTTCCTGATGGCAAGTAGGGACCTTAATGACATCTTCATCCTATTTCAAAAGTTCCAGTAACTTTCTGTTGCCCATCAGTCCCATTTCTGTAGGTAAGGCCCAGTCCACACACACAACCACGTGGACAAATCTCACAGACCTAATGTTGAGTGAAAGGAGCCAGATACAAGAGTGTGTGCTTTGCGATGTTTTTTTCTATAAATTAAAAAAGAGAAAAAGAGGCTAGACTCTCACTTTGTGTTAGGAGTCAAAACTAGCCTGAGGAGGGTGGGGCCACCTGGAAAAGGGTATGGTTGGGGCTGATTGCTGAGAATATACAATGTCTTGCTCTTGCGTGCTGGTTCCCAATAGTAGTCACATTGTGGAAATGCATTGAGCAATTTGCTTATGTTGTGTGCGCTTCTCCGTATTTGTGTTTGTGGTGGGTTGAATAGTGTCCCCTCAATATTCTTGGCCCCCCAGAACCTCAGAGCATGACCTTATTTGGAAATAGAGTCTTTGCAGATGTAATCAAGGTAAGGTCAGAGATTAGGATGGGCCCTACATCCAGTGACCGATGTCTTTATAAGAAGAGGAGAAGATACACAGACATCAACAGAGGTGAGGGCCATGTGAAGATGGAGGCAGAAATTGGACTGATGCATCGACAAGCCAAGGAATGCCAAGGATTGCCAGGAACCACCGGAAGCTGAAGAGGAGCATGGACCAGATCTTTCCCCAGAGCCTTCAGGAGGAGCATGGCCCTCTAACACCTTGCCTTTAGACTTCTGGCCTCCAGAACTGAAAGAGAATCCATTTCTGTTCTTAGGAGTCACCAGGCTTGTGGTACTTTGTTACAGCAGCCCCAGGAAACTAAGGCAATGCCACACTTCAATAAAGAGAGTGTACAAATGAGTCAGGCCAGGTCAGTTTCAAACTGCCATCTCCTAGTCTCTTCAAAGCTCTTCTTGCCCCACTCCCGGAGGAGGCGATGCCCATCTCAGGTCCTAGCAGGTTGAGGTGGCAGAGCAGCCTATATGCTCTTCCCACACCTCCATGCCGCCTCCTTCCAGGTACCCACTCCTCTTGTGCCGGGGGTGGAAAGGAGCGAGAGTGACAGGGAAGCTGCCTCCCCCTTAATTGGAAGTAGATGCCATCCTGTTCACTCGGCCTCACCTCACACCTGGTCTGTGAGCTGCCCGCCTTCACCTCAGGGCTCACCCAAGGCAACCTGCCTATGCACTGGCATTTGGCCACCTCTCTTCATATCCCCCAATTGATGCAGCATCCTCTTTGCCTCCACTCCCAGCCCATGCTTCTCAGCGTGTAGCCAGCCTGTGCAGGTGGATGGCTGTCTTCCATTCCACCATGGAAGAGGAAATGATTGTGTTGTCCTGGGCTTCTCCCTCACCACATCGCTGCTTTCCAAGTCTCTTCCCCCCTGTCTGAGTAGCACAGGGGTGTGTGATATAATATTTCATAGGTTTTGACCTGGTTTTGAGATCATAGCTAAAGAACTCTCAATTCTCCTTTGCAGGCAGTTCTTTAAGCCCAGAGCCTAACTCCTTCCCTTATGAGCCTCTAAAACTCATGGGCTCCGCTGCACAGAGACCTCCAGACACCTAACACCCAAGGATGACCCCTTCTTCCTTGGGCCCACAAGAGAGTTCAAAATACCTCATCCTCAGGAAGCCTGCAAAACCTGGCTAGCCCCACCCTGCTTGTCATATATAAGCCACCAGAAGAATGAACAAACCAGTCTTAGAAGAAATACAACCAGAATGCTTCTTAGAAGGGAGGCTGGTGAGACTTTGGCTCCTTTACCTTTGTGCATCATCAGGGAAGACCAATCACTAGAAAAGAACATCATGGTTGATAAAGAAGATGGCCAAGAAAAAAGGATGGAAACCCTCAATGAGATGGACTCAACAGTGGGCTCCAACATACCAATTATCATGGTATGGTGCAGGATCGGGCAGCATTCTGTTCTGTTGTGCATAAGGTCACCATGAGTTGGAGCCGATTCGGTGGCAACTAACAACAAAAAATTCCAGCTTGGTGTTATCCTGTCCCTGGTGTAACCTTGCGTGGCAGCCTTCCCGCATTGGGAGCTCTAGTAACAGAATTCTGCCTTTCGTGTGTCTGAGTGTCTGTGTTGTGTCCCACAATGTAAAGAACCTATCACCCTACCTAATAGCGTAATTATGAAACAGGGTGCAGCTCAGCAAGTCGTCTGCCTTCAGTGACCCAACTTGAGCATGAAATGCCAGCCTCCCCTGCTTACAGGTGTGTCTTATCTAAACTCGTATTTCCCTACTCCTTGTCTTTCAGGAGGGGTGGCGCAGGGAGAACCCCCAAATGCTCCACAGCCCCTTAGCCCCACATGAAGGGGTCTCACAGCTAGCAAGTAGCAGAAGTAGAACTCAAGTCCAGAGTTCTGAGACTTCGGAATGGACCCTGCTCTGGTTTTAAGAACTACTGGCTTTATTTTCAAAAAAAAAAAAAAATTATTTTGTTGTTGTTGAGAATATACACAGCAAAACATACCCCAATTCAATAGTTTCTACATGTACCACTTCGTGACATGGATTACGTTCTAGGAACTACTGGCTTTTAAATTCTGCCTATTCTCATGGTAGTTATACTTGTGTTGGATGTGTTGATATCTGTCCACCTTCCAGAGATGAAATGAAAAACAAAAGAGCAGTAAACCAGTTGCCATCAAGTTGACCCTGACTCACGGCGACTCTATGAGTGTCAGGGCAGAACTGTGCTCCACAGGGTTTTCAATGGCTGATTTTTTGAAAGTACATCACCAGGCCTTTCTTCTGAGGCCCTCTGGTGGACTTGAACCTCCAACCTTTCAGTCAGCAGCCAAGTACATTAACTGTTGGCAGCACCTAGGGACTTCCTCTCTGTACAGATAGCAGGCGGTCACTCCATTGTATCCCCTTAAAAGTCAGAATCATTTTTGTTTCCCAACTAGAGACAAAACTACTCTCAAGGAAGCAGACTTCCCAGTCCTATTGTTTTCCAGCACTTGCTTCAAGGGACCTCAATGAGTTGCACGCAAAACCTTTTTCCAGAAACTCTGCCGTAGTGGGCTCCCTTGTTTTGTATTCTTGTTCCCAACACATAGCCTCTCACTCTTCTCATTCTTGTTTTGCCAATTAGAGCTAATTGTGAGAAATTAAAGATAAATGTTATTTGGCAGCTAGGGAGTTTTTCCATTCCTTTCAGGAAATATGCAACTAAGTTTTCCAAAGGAATGAATGCTTAAATAGTAATCAAAAATCATTCTCTTCTGTGGCGATCTATTTTTAGTTGCTTGGCAGACTGCCTGGGTCATGGGGCTGCAAGCACATTATGAAGATAGTTTACCCTACAAATATGTTTACTTGTTCCTGATGAGGTGGACGGAAAATGTTCAAGTACTTTCTCATTCTCCCCTTTGCGTTTTTCTCATAATGTGATTTCTATCTCAAGGCCTCAGACTCCTCAGATTACAATTTCATGACAACTTCTGGAACCACAGATTTCAAAAACAAAATGGATTCGGATGGAATACAGTTTCTCCAAGTTCCAAATATTCAGGAGAAAAATGAATTATTACTGTTTTCTTGGTTTGCATTTTTTACTCTGCCTAATTCCAACGAATGGGAGCTCTGGTAGCATAGTGGCTAAGGCACTTGACTGCTAACCAGAAGGCTGGCAGTTCAAACCTACCAGCCACTCCTCGGAAGGAAGAGTGGGCAATCTACTTCCGTGATACTGCCTCAGCAACCCAAAGAGGGGTCGCTATGAGTTGGGTCCAACTCGACAGCACATAACAACAACAACAATTCCAACGAGGGTTTGAGATTACTGGCTTATTATTCTAAAAAAAACCACCTAACTGGATATACACTTCAGTCCTCATGGAACGATCTTGTATCCTCTCTATTCAAGTTTGGAAATCATATGAAGCAACACCTCTTGGGGCATTTGTCAAAGACAAGACAATTCGAAAGGAGCATCAACGTTGAACCAAAATATAGTCAAGAGCCTAGCAAAATTAATTCATGATATTTTAGGTAAAATAAAGGTCATTGGAAAAAATCATAACAAATATCATGAAATATCTAAAATATTCTAATAAAATTGACACTACTCATGATTCAGTGGTGGCATTTTTGCCTTCCACGCAGGAAACCCAGGTTCAATTCCCCGCCAACACACCTCACGGGTGGCCATCACCCTTCAATTGGTGGAGGCTTGCATGTTGCTATGATGCTGAACAAGGAGCCTGGTGGTGCTTAACTGCTAACCAAAAGGTTGGCAGTTCAAACCCACCCAGATGCTCCACACGAGAAATCCTATGAGGCAGTTTTACTCTGTCATGTGAGGTCACTATGAGTTGGAATCAACTTGATAGCGCCTAACAGCAACAACAATAATGCTGAACAGGTTGCAGCAGGGTTTGCAGCCTAACACAGATTAGGAAGGCCAATGAAAACCCTGCGGTTCACAACGGCCTGATGGACAGCTGATCGCAGGGATGGGGCAGGACCAGCCAGGCAGTATTTTGTTCCATTGCACATGGCTTCACACTGAGTGTGAGGCAGACTTGACCCAGTGGCAGCTAAAAACAGCATCATCATCATCATCAAATTGAGTTAAAATTCCTAACCTCCCGACCTCTCAGTTGTAATCTGGAGGTGAAACACAATCAATGAGCATACCCTTTGAAGCATGTTCCCAGGAAAGTCCCTTCTAGAGGTCGAAGGGCTGAGCTAAGGTGACAGACAGGTGGGGGAGGCAGAGCCTCTAGTGGAGACTAGTGGTCCCAGTGTGGAACAAGCCAGCAGGCATCCACCATCTGTCATCGCTCAGAGGATGGCTATGCTGGGGCTTGAAGAGCAACACCAAAACAAAGGAGAGCAGCAGGCTAGGGAGAGTTCGGGAACAAATGGCACAAAGGGAGGGGAATTTCAGTGGAATGGAAGGGCTGGGAAAAAGGAGGCCGCCATGAGGCAAGCAGAGGCGTGGGTGTCAAATCAAGGTCAGCTCTTGACTTGAAAACAAGGACAACTGGTTTTCAACAGAACACTTAGAACAGAACTTATCTTTTCAACTTAGATTAAAATAGCCCCCCCCCCTTTCTTTAAGGGAGTATAGTTTCACAATCTCTAACCTGCAATTATAAAATCCCCCAAATTCTGAAAACCAAGCGTTCCCCCAAGTTTGATGCAAATTCCTTTGGCAACAAAAACATGACCAGGGGGATAAAAAAAACAGGTAATCGATTATTTGTAATTTTATGTAACTTGGTGTGAATATATTTCTCTAGAAATATCAAACTGTTGAGTCATGGGAAGTAGCTCGTGACCCCACTGGGAGTACTATGTAGTAGGAAGTATAAGCGTTGTAATACACAAAAAATTCTCAGCTCTGAAACATATCTGGCCCAAGGGACAGGGATAATAGCCAATCTACCTGAAAGTTCAGGGACCAGGTGACTGTACTAAACCTAGCTCCCATTCTGGTCAAATTAGCAAAGGCTGCAAAATCTGACAACATGTCTCTTTAGAGAAAGAGAGTGCTTTTAACACTGCAGAAACTTCTGCGGGCAGAAAGGAGGTCCCTTTAGCCATCAAGCACAGCACCAAGGGCTGTGAGCTTTTCAAGGGCCTATGACACTGTTTTAGACTGAAAAACAAGTATTGTCTACAAAGTGCAATGCGCACAAAAAGACCTGTCAGATCAAAATTAGTAATAGTCAACCACAGCTTAACGCAACTCACGTGAGTCACCTACACATGTCATAGTTGAAATCACAAAGACATAGGAAATAATATTTTCCAGAATATGAAATTCCAGAACAAAACAAGTCTTTGCAAAAGAAATGATATTTTAAGAGGGATATGAAGTTAAGTAGGAGGTCTGGTAACCTAGTGCCTAAGGCACTTGACTGCTAACCAGAAGGCTGGCGGTTCAAACCCACCAGCCACTCCTCGGAAGGAAGGTTGGGCAATCTACTTCCGTAGCGATACTGCCTCGGAAACCCAAGGAGGGGCTGCTAGGAGTCGGGTCTGACTTGATGGCACATAACAACAACAACATGAAGTTAAGTGTGGCCTCCTAAAGAAGTTGTTGTTAGTTGCCATCGATTTGGCTCTGACTCCTGGTGCCCCCGTTGTGCAGAGAAATACTCCATTGGGTTTTGAAGGCTGTGACCTTCTGGAAGCAGACTGCCAGGGCTGTCTTCCAATGCACCTCTGTGAGGGTGGTTGAACTGCCAACATTTTGGCTAGTCCAGTGCTTACGCCACCCAGGGACTACCTCTAAAAGAAACAGTGCTCAGGAAAGTCTAAACTCGGCCTAGCTGAGCTATTCACAGCCCGCCCCTTGCTTTGGATGGTATTGGTGCTAGTTTACGGGAACCTAATAGGCTAGTAGAATCCCAAAAATGGAACTGTGGGCTGAGACTTTTGTAAGTCAGTTAGCTAACTTAGTGATTAAACATCCTATGTTTCCACAACAAACGTCTGTGTGACCAGTAAGTAGCAAAAGTCACTTCAGGATTGAGCTGTCCACTTTCATAACTTTTTTCTTTCTTGATTTGTAATACATCTAGTTCTAAGGCATTTGACTGCTAACCAGAAGGCTGGCGGTTCAAGCCAACCAACCACTCTTCGGAAGGAAGGCTGGGCAATCTACTTCCATAGTGATACTGCCTCGGAAACCAAGGAGGGGTCGGTATGAGTCCAACTCGATGGCAGTGAGTTAGTTCTAAACATATAGTATCTGATTGCTAACAGTGTCAAAAGAAAAACCACTTAGAATTATGTAACAGCTACTGTTTCTGGCATGTTACTTACTGCCATGTTATAGAAAGCTTTATTTACTAAATCTAGACATACTATTACATACATATATAACATAAAACTATGTGTGCTTGTATACATAAGCATATACATGGATAGGAAGGAAACCAAACCTCTTATAAGGATAATTTTTAAATAACATTTTGACCTTGTAATACTGTGTTGGGAGCTCTGGTAGCATAGTGCCTAAGACACTTGACTGCTAACCAGACGGCTGGCGGTTCAAACCCACCAGCCACTCCTTGGAAGGAAAGTTGGGCAATCTACTTCCGTAGTGATACCGCCTCAGAAACCCAAAGAGGGCTCGCTGTGAATCGGGTCTGACTCGAGGGCACATAACAACAACAGCAATACTGTGCTACTTGCATTAAATGAATGTGATTCTAACAGCTTGAACAAGTAAAGGTATTTGAACTAAACAAGACCGGTTGCTGTGGAGTCGATTCCTACTCATAGTGACCCTATAGGACAGAGTAAAACTGCCCCATAGGGTCTCCTAGGCTGAAATCTTCATAGAGCAGACTGCCACATCTTTCTCCCACGAAGCTGCTGGTGGATTCAAACTGCTGACCTTTCAAGTTAGCAGCTGAACACTTAACCACTGCACCACCAGGGCTCCTGAGCTAAAGAATGAATGCACTTTATTTAATGTATTTGTATTATGGTTCCAGACTTAACTTCAAGCCATGCTAATGCTCACATAGGGTTCAACAACTACAAAACCTTTTTTTTTAAAAAAAAATGTACTTAACTTAGGACTGCAGAGCCGGAAGGAAAGCACATGAGCACCAAGAGGAAACGTTTTTCACACACTCTTGCCATTGCTGACTTGACCTAATTTAAACCCTGAGTATGATGGAGCCATGAAAACACCAAAAACCAGTTACTGACAATTCTAGCAAGCTCCTACCCAGGTTTACAAATCCAATTCGACAGTAATTTGTAAGTCCCTGCTGAGCTTGAAACTCGGGAGAAACGTCATTACTGGTACTATGTACCTAGTTAAAGGAACATACCTCCCTGAAAAGTATGGCAGATGTAATCCCCAAAAGACACCTCTTTCCACAGCCAGGGCCCTCTATTTTCCAAAACTTCCAGATTCTTCTCATTGTCACCAGTTAATTGAAGCATTCTGATGCCTGTCTTTGGAGGTCTTGTTCCTTTGGCCAAGTGTGCTGTCGTCCAGCGTTCAAGGTTGCCTCGTGTACTGAAATTGCCTATCTTATGAGCCTATTTTGAAAGGGAATCCTGGATGCAAATTGAAAGTGGACACTGGATAAAGAATGATGTAACCCTGGAGCCCCTGCAAACCCTAAAAATACAGAGGGAAATTCTGAGCTCTCTTCATGAATAAAGTAGCGCCAGGGAGATCGGATTCACTGACAACTGAGGTGTGTCACTTCTGTGAAAGTGAATCATTTCTTGAAAGAAGTGAAGACGAGTTTCCACAAAGCCTGAGACTTGAAAATGTTTTCCCTGAATCTTGGCAGTTCCAGTAGAAGCACCTTTGTTTGCCCTGCTTTGAACAGTGCCACGTATAAAGGGATTTAGTGCAAGCTTTTTCCGGACAGTGAGAAGTGGCTAACCAACTCCAATTGCAAATGACAGCACACCACACACACACACACACACACAGTCTATATATATATA